CCCGGACCCTGGACTCGGTGAGGGGTATTAGGTACCCGTAGAACCTGTCCCTGGACTCGGTGAGGGGTATTAGGTACCCGTAGGACCTGGACTCGGTGAGGTGTATTAGGTACCCGTAGAACCTGTCCCTGGACTCGGTGAGGGGTATTAGGTACCCGTAGAACCTGTCCCTGGACTCGGTGAGGGGTATTAGGTACCCGTAGGACCTGGACTCGGTGAGGTGTATTAGGTACCCGTAGAACCTGTCCCTGGACTCGGTGAGGGGTATAAGGTACCCGTAGGACCTGTCCCTGGACTCGGTGAGGGGTATAAGGTACCTGTAGGACCTGGACTCCATGAGGGGTATTAGGTACCCGTAGGACCTGGACTCGGTGAGGGGTATTAGGTACCTGTAGTAATGACCCCAGAGCTGAATTCCCGGCCAGTGATGGTGATGGTCAGTAGGGCGTGGGAGCGGGAGCTGCGCTCATTCATGTTGGTGCAGAATGTGGCTCGGTTGCGCCGCCCCAGTGCCAGAAGCTGGAGAAACAATCACATATCAGTCTCCTGGGAGCCGCCATTTTGTGCTCCGGGGCTCTCGGAGGTTATAGCGGCACGGCGGCAGAGTAATGGTGGAGCATCGGCTCCATGACTGAAGAGGAATTTTATACCTTTTTAATGTGGCGGAAACTCTTCACCTCCATGCTGGTCAGGCCCGGCACGTGAAGCCGGCCGCTGCCATCCGGGTGGAGCTTGATGTCCAGCTTGTCCTGGGGGTCCCTGGAGAGAAGGTCTCTGTGGAGGAAGAGATTGCCAAACCATTGTTAGGAGTAATGTCGGAATTCTGTGTGTACCAGGCGAGGAGGACCGGGACACAATGCTATCCGGGGGTGGAACGGACCTCCCCCAACCTATCTGTAGGGTCCGGAGAACATTATCTGGGGTGGAATGGACATGAAGGGTCACCGACCTCCCCCAACCTATCTGTAGGGTCCGGAGAATATTATCTGGGGTGGAATGGACATGAAGGGTCAGCGACCTCCCCCAACCTATCTGTACGGTCCGGAGAACGTTATCTGGGGGGGAATGGACATGGAGGGTCCCCGACCTCCCCCAACTTATCTGTAGAGTCCGGAGAACAATATCTGGGGTGGAACGGACATGAAGGGTCAGCGACCTCCCCCAACCTATCTGTAGGGTCCGGAGCACGTTATCTGGGGGGGAATGGACATGGAGGGTCCCCGACCTCCCCCAACTTATCTGTAGAGTCCGGAGAACAATATCTGGGGTGGAACGGACATGAAGGGTCAGCGACCTCCCCCAACCTATCTGTAGGGTCCGGAGCACGTTATCTGGGGGGGAATGGACATGGAGGGTCCCCGACCTCCCCCAACTTATCTGTAGAGTCCGGAGAACAATATCTGGGGTGGAACGGACATGAAGGGTCAGCGACCTCCCCCAACCTATCTGTAGGGTCCGGAGCACGTTATCTGGGGGGGAATGGACATGGAGGGTCCCCGACCTCCCCCAACTTATCTGTAGAGTCCGGAGAACAATATCTGGGGTGGAACGGACATGAAGGGTCAGCGACCTCCCCCAACCTATCTGTAGGGTCCGGAGCACGTTATCTGGGGGGGAATGGACATGGAGGGTCCCCGACCTCCCCCAACTTATCTGTAGAGTCCGGAGAACAATATCTGGGGTGGAACGGACATGAAGGGTCAGCGACCTCCCCCAACCTATCTGTAGGGTCCGGAGCACGTTATCTGGGGGGGAATGGACATGGAGGGTCCCCGACCTCCCCCAACTTATCTGTAGAGTCCGGAGAACAATATCTGGGGTGGAACGGACATGAAGGGTCAGCGACCTCCCCCAACCTATCTGTAGGGTCCGGAGCACGTTATCTGGGGGGGAATGGACATGGAGGGTCCCCGACCTCCCCCAACTTATCTGTAGAGTCCGGAGAACAATATCTGGGGTGGAACGGACATGAAGGGTCAGCGACCTCCCCCAACCTATCTGTAGGGTCCGGAGCACGTTATCTGGGGGGGAATGGACATGGAGGGTCCCCGACCTCCCCCAACTTATCTGTAGAGTCCGGAGAACAATATCTGGGGTGGAACGGACATGAAGGGTCAGCGACCTCCCCCAACCTATCTGTAGGGTCCGGAGCACGTTATCTGGGGGGGAATGGACATGGAGGGTCCCCGACCTCCCCCAACTTATCTGTAGAGTCCGGAGAACAATATCTGGGGTGGAACGGACATGAAGGGTCAGCGACCTCCCCCAACCTATCTGTAGGGTCCGGAGCACGTTATCTGGGGGGGAATGGACATGGAGGGTCCCCGACCTCCCCCAACTTATCTGTAGAGTCCGGAGAACAATATCTGGGGTGGAACGGACATGAAGGGTCAGCGACCTCCCCCAACCTATCTGTAGGGTCCGGAGCACGTTATCTGGGGGGGAATGGACATGGAGGGTCCCCGACCTCCCCCAACTTATCTGTAGAGTCCGGAGAACAATATCTGGGGTGGAACGGACATGAAGGGTCAGCGACCTCCCCCAACCTATCTGTAGGGTCCGGAGCACGTTATCTGGGGGGGAATGGACATGGAGGGTCCCCGACCTCCCCCAACTTATCTGTAGAGTCCGGAGAACAATATCTGGGGTGGAACGGACATGAAGGGTCAGCGACCTCCCCCAACCTATCTGTAGGGTCCGGAGCACGTTATCTGGGGGGGAATGGACATGGAGGGTCCCCGACCTCCCCCAACTTATCTGTAGAGTCCGGAGAACAATATCTGGGGTGGAACGGACATGAAGGGTCAGCGACCTCCCCCAACCTATCTGTAGGGTCCGGAGCACGTTATCTGGGGGGGAATGGACATGGAGGGTCCCCGACCTCCCCCAACTTATCTGTAGAGTCCGGAGAACAATATCTGGGGTGGAACGGACATGAAGGGTCAGCGACCTCCCCCAACCTATCTGTAGGGTCCGGAGCACGTTATCTGGGGGGGAATGGACATGGAGGGTCCCCGACCTCCCCCAACTTATCTGTAGAGTCCGGAGAACAATATCTGGGGTGGAACGGACATGAAGGGTCAGCGACCTCCCCCAACCTATCTGTAGGGTCCGGAGCACGTTATCTGGGGGGGAATGGACATGAAGGGTCACCGACCTCCCCCAACCTATCTGTGGAGTCCGGAGAACATTATCTGGGGTGGAATGAACATGAAGGGTCACCGACCTTCCCCAACTTATCGGTAGGGTCCGGAGAACATTATCTGGGGTGGAATGGACATGAAGGTACACTGACCTCCCCCAACTTATCTGTAGAGTCCGGAGAACAATATCTGGGGTGGAATGGACATGAAGGGTCACCGACCTCCCCCAACCTATCTGTAGGGTCCGGAGAACATTATCTGGGGTGGAATGGACATGAAGAGTCACCGACCTCACCCAACTTATCTGTAGGGTGCGGAGAACAATATCTGGGGTGGAATGGACATGAAGGGTCACCGACCTCCCCCAACTTATCTGTAGGGTCCGGAGAATGTTTTCCAGGGGTGGAATGGACATGAAGGGTCACCGACCTCCCCCAACTTATCTGTAGGGTCCGGAGAATGTTTTCCAGGGGTGGAATGGACATGAAGGGTCACCGACCTCCCCCAACTTATCTGTAGGGTCCGGAGAATGTTTTCCAGGGGTGGAATGGACATGAAGGGTCACCGACCTCCCCCAACTTATCTGTAGGGTCCGGAGAATGTTTTCCAGGGGTGGAATGGACATGAAGGGTCACCGACCTCCCCCAACTTATCTGTAGGGTCCGGAGAATGTTTTCCAGGGGTGGAATGGACATGAAGGGTCACCGACCTCCCCCAACTTATCTGTAGGGTCCGGAGAATGTTTTCCAGGGGTGGAATGGACATGAAGGGTCACCGACCTCCCCCAACTTATCTGTAGGGTCCGGAGAATGTTTTCCAGGGGTGGAATGGACATGAAGGGTCACCGACCTCCCCCAACTTATCTGTAGGGTCCGGAGAATGTTTTCCAGGGGTGGAATGGACATGAAGGGTCACCGACCTCCCCCAACTTATCTGTAGGGTCCGGAGAATGTTTTCCAGGGGTGGAATGGACATGAAGGGTCACCGACCTCCCCCAACTTATCTGTAGGGTCCGGAGAATGTTTTCCAGGGGTGGAATGGACATGAAGGGTCACCGACCTCCCCCAACTTATCTGTAGGGTCCGGAGAATGTTTTCCAGGGGTGGAATGGACATGAAGGGTCACCGACCTCCCCCAACTTATCTGTAGGGTCCGGAGAATGTTTTCCAGGGGTGGAATGGACATGAAGGGTCACCGACCTCCCCCAACTTATCTGTAGGGTCCGGAGAATGTTTTCCAGGGGTGGAATGGACATGAAGGGTCACCGACCTCCCCCAACTTATCTGTAGGGTCCGGAGAATGTTTTCCAGGGGTGGAATGGACATGAAGGGTCACCGACCTCCCCCAACTTATCTGTAGGGTCCGGAGAATGTTTTCCAGGGGTGGAATGGACATGAAGGGTCACCGACCTCCCCCAACTTATCTGTAGGGTCCGGAGAATGTTTTCCAGGGGTGGAATGGACATGAAGGGTCACCGACCTCCCCCAACTTATCTGTAGGGTCCGGAGAATGTTTTCCAGGGGTGGAATGGACATGAAGGGTCACCGACCTCCCCCAACTTATCTGTAGGGTCCGGAGAATGTTTTCCAGGGGTGGAATGGACATGAAGGGTCACCGACCTCCCCCAACTTATCTGTAGGGTCCGGAGAATGTTTTCCAGGGGTGGAATGGACATGAAGGGTCACCGACCTCCCCCAACTTATCTGTAGGGTCCGGAGAATGTTTTCCAGGGGTGGAATGGACATGAAGGGTCACCGACCTCCCCCAACTTATCTGTAGGGTCCGGAGAATGTTTTCCAGGGGTGGAATGGACATGAAGGGTCACCGACCTCCCCCAACTTATCTGTAGGGTCCGGAGAATGTTTTCCAGGGGTGGAATGGACATGAAGGGTCACCGACCTCCCCCAACTTATCTGTAGGGTCCGGAGAATGTTTTCCAGGGGTGGAATGGACATGAAGGGTCACCGACCTCCCCCAACTTATCTGTAGGGTCCGGAGAATGTTTTCCAGGGGTGGAATGGACATGAAGGGTCACCGACCTCCCCCAACCTATCTTTAGGGTCCGAAGAACATTATCTGGGGTGGAATGGACATGAAGGGTCACCGACCTCCCCAACTTATCTGTAGGGTCCGGAGAACAGACATGAAGGGTCACCGACCTCCCCAACTTATCTGTAGGGTGCGGAGAACATTATCTGGGGTGGAATGGACAAGAAGGGTCACCGACCTTCCCCAACTTATCTGCAGAGTCCAGAGAACAATATCCGAGGGTGGAATGGACATGAAGGGTCACCGACCTTCCCCAACTTATCTGTAGAGTCCGGAGAACAATATACGAGGGTGGAATGGACATGAAGGGTCACCGACCTTCCCCAACTTATCTGTAGGGTCCGGAGAACGTTATCTGGGGTGGAATGGACATGAAGGGTCACCGACCTCCCCCAACCTATCTGTAGGGTCCGGAGAACATTATCTGGGGTGGAATGGACATGAAGGGTCACCGACCTTCCCCAACTTATCTGTAGGGTCCGGAGAACGTTATCCAGGGGTGGAATGGACATGAAGGGTCACCGACCCTCCTCAACATATCTTATGCTTAAAGAGGTGGTCCCTGGTGGAACAGCTACCAACCATTAGACTACCCACCCTAGGCGACCCGACGTCACCTGCTCACACACAAGCTCACTTCATTCACCTTTGTGGCAATTTACAAACACGAATTTCTCTTCTGTTGTGAGTGACGTCCAAAATCTCGGGCGGAACTGGAAGAAATGTTCACAGTCCCTGAAGCCTCCCAAACCCAAGAAGATCCATAGAACTGAGCTCACTGCTAACCCCCAAGCCATGTGGCTCCCTCTTCCTTCTAGTGACTCACCTGATGACCTCATTGTAGATCTCCACCATACTGAGTGTGACTTCATAACTCCACAGGCCCTTCCGTGCCTCCATCTCTTGGTACAGAGCCCGCAGGGACTGAAGGTTCATCCCGGGATGGTCAGCTGTCCCCTGATAAATACAAAATACATCAAACGAAACCTCTGACTGTGTCTGGACCCCTCACCCCACCATGTGACCTCCTCACTGAGCCCCTGCTCAGCCCCCGGCATCTATAACAGGCTGAATACTCCGATCAAAGCTCCATCTGAGAGGAGATCCATCTTTGGGGGATGGAGGAGCTAAAAACATGAAAAACCCCAATCACGGGGCAAACACTTCAACCCTGAGGACAGTATTGGATGATGAGATGGAAGGAGAGGACACCTACCTCCATGGATGAGATGGACGGAGAGGACACTTACCTCCATGGGATGAGATGGACGGAGAGGACACTTACCTCCATGGGATGAGATGGAAGGAGAGGACACTTACCTCCATGGGATGAGATGGACAGAGGGGACACTTACCTCCATGGGATGAGATGAAAGGAGAGGACACTTACCTCCATGGACAGAGGGGAGACTTACCTCCATGGGATGAGATGGACAGAGGGGACACTTACCACCCTGGGATGAAATGAAAGGAGAGGACACTTACCTCCATTGACAGAGGGGACACTTAGCTCCATGGACATAGGGGAGACTTACCTCCATGGACAGAGGGGTTTACCTCCATTGACAGAGGGGACACTTAGCTCCATGGACATAGGGGAGACTTACCTCCATGGACAGAGGGGAGACTTACCTCCATGGACAGAGGGGAGACTTACCTCCATGGTGTAGGTTTTTCCAGAACCAGTCTGTCCATAAGCAAAGATACAGACGTTGTAGCCATTGATGCAGGATGTGACTACAGGCTCGATCTCCAGGAACACCTGATGACCAATAGAACATTCTGCCATTAGTGACAACATTCACCAGGAAACACTCCATGCAGACGTAAGATACAATGACAGGAGAACACTAGGAGAGGAACTCAGACGAATGATATAGACTAAACTGTACACAATTATTGTCGGCATCCTCATCCTCTCCTTCATGCTCTGATGTTATCATTGTAATGAACTATCAAGTGGTGTCAGCTGACCTCCTCCTGGGTGGCCTCCGGTAAGAAGACTTTATCAAGCTCAAAGCTTCTCTCCTTCCCTTTATAGGTGACAGACAGTCTGGTGTCATCATTCACATCAGTAATGATGGTGGAGACTCCGGAACCCTCCTGGTCACTGAGGTCTTTTTGTGGCCGCACTCTGCACAGCACCCGGATATTTCCTGACCAATAAAGCAAAGAAATCAATCACCTATGTCCACTAAATGGGCAGATGTATGTGAACCCCCCAAGTGATGTCCAGTGAAGGGTCTTGTGAACACTACAACATACAATTGGGCTCTTCCAGCCTTGTGGTCACAGTTTGGTGAAGACCCTTTTCTGTCCCACCCATGACTGTCCCCTGTGTACAAAGCCAGCTCCATACAGACATAGTGTGACCTGTGTGGTGGAGGAACCCGAGTGTCCTGCACAGAGCCCCGACCTCATCCCTACTGACCTCAACCCTACTGACCCCAAACCTACTGACCCCAACCCTACTGACCTCCACCCTACTGACCTCCACCCTACTGACCTCCACCCTACTGAACACCTTTGGGATGCCTCCCTGAAGAGTGGAGGATGTTCTAGCTGCAAAGTGGAGCAACTCATGTATTGGGTGAGGAGAGATGGAAATGGTGAGAAGTCCAATCAGAGAAGTTGGGGATTGATTGAATCCATAGACATGGTGTGACCAGTGTGGTGGAGGAACTCGAGTGTCCTGCACAGAGCCCTGACCTCATCCCTACTGACCTCAACCCTACTGACCCCAACCCTACTGACCTCAACCCTACTGACCCCAACCCTACTGACCCCAACCCTACTGACCTCAACCCTACTGACCCCAACCCTACTGACCCCAACCCTACTGACCCCAACCCTACTGACCTCAACCCTACTCACCTCCACCCTACTGACCTCAACCCTACTGACCTCATCCCTACCGACCTCATCCCTACTGAGCACCTTGGGGATAAAGTGGAAAGCCGATTGTGAGCCGGGTCTTCTCATCCAACATCAGCACCTGACCTCACACATGGGACAAATTCCCACCTACACCCTCCAAAATCTTGTCTGGAAGATCACAATTGTCTCCAATGTCTTTGTATGCTGTGGCTACAAACGTTTGGCCATATCATGTGTTTCTTGTCTACAGCTGAAGGTTTTAGTGAATCTTATTTCTGGTCAGAGAGACAATTGTAAGAGCTTCGGGTGCCATTTCATGTTGTATCACCACAATAAGATGTTCCTCAGCGCTGACGAGATCTTGTCCCTTAGTACATAATGATCCCAGACGTTCCTGCTGAGGGAAATCCTTAGAATGGGGCTTGGTTGGGTCAGAGATAGAATCGGAATCTCACCTTTCAGCTCCACAAGCTGGTTGTGATATCTCTTGCGCAGCTGCACCTCCCGCTGATACTTCTGCAGGAGGTCTTTGTTGGCCTCTGACACATTGGTCACGGCATTGCATATCTAAAAGGACACGAGACATGTCAATGACAGCAGATTCTGGGTTCCACCTTCCCCTTTATGACTCCCCTCCCCCTCCACTTTGTCATGGACTGGGTCCCCTGCCTTATTCCCCATCCACGCTCTCTGCTCTTGCCTGCTCTCTCACCTGTCTCCGGGCCTCTTGGATGGAGGCTTCATAAAACTGGGAGAAGTTCCTCACTTGGCTCCTGAGACTGTTGTAGTTGGTCTTCATGTTCTTCAGAACCGGCTGCAGTGACACTAGGCGGCTCTGCACCCCTACAGGTCATAGAAATGAATCATTGGTCCTCGGGGAACTCAAGAGCTGCTACATAATGCTGAACATACAGATCTAAAGTGTAGATGTGACCCTCTGACCACTGGACCTCCAACCCGCTGAGCCAGCAGCAGCCTCTACCCGTCCTCATTTCACCTCCCTCATCCATATTGTAGTCAGGCCGGTCATGTGACATACAGGATATGGGGGGTGCGGGTTATAGACTATTGGGGTCTGACTATCTTGTTCTCATCCTGTAATGACCACCCATAGTGGAGTCAGTGGGGTCACTTCTACCAACCTATGAGCTGATCCCGCAGAGTGTCCATGTGCTGCTCAGAGCATTGTGAAGCCTCTTTGATGGCCTCTTCCTTCTGGGCCTCCAGCTGGTGAATCTCCTGCATCAGATGCTCCTTTAGCTTCTCAATCTCCATCTCATAGCTGGAAATCTGGAATCACAAGAGGAGGGTTACATCAGAAGGTCCCCCCCCCCCTCTTCTCTGCCATGTGCTAAGATGACCACGTATGACCATGATGGGTCTCCACTGCACCAAACCATCTCACAGACATCAATAAAGACTTCCTGACCTTCGTCTCATATCAGGACCCAACACCGCTCCACCGTATGGTGGCGACATCACTATTCCACGTGCAATGTTGGTGTCTCAGGGAATATTTGCTTCTGTCTTCTCACCAAAGTTCTATCAGACAATGGACTCCTTCACCGAGAACATCACTTCTCACCTCCAGCTTACTAATGGCTCGTGCCAGAACTGCTCCTCCCCCCATACAAGTCTATGGAAACGCAGCTTGAAGCCGGTCAGACCTGTCACCCAAGTCCCAGAAATGTCTCTGACCCCGTTTACCCCCCGGAGCCCATCCACACGGGTCCTTCTGAAGCATCATGAATGAGATGCTAGATCCCCGTCTGGGCAACTTCCTCACCATCATCTCCACCCCCGACCTGTCCCATCTACTCCAATGCAGCGTCTCTCCATCCATGGCCCCTGTATATAGTCTGGAATATGTCCTCTGCCAATCGTCTGCACTCTTTCGGCCTCCTCAACACTGAAGACTTCTCTTGTGCTGCACCTGAATCCTGGACGTCTCTCCCCCACCCTCCGGGGCTATCAGCAGATGCAAAACATTCCCATTCCCCTGGAAAACGGTTCCTGGGGTCCCTGGCCCTTTGTGAAGCCCAACCCCTTCCACTGAAGCCCTGCCCCTTCCAGCGAAGCCCTGCCCCTTCCACTGAAGCCCTGCCCCTTCCACTGAAGCCCTGCTCCTTCCACTGAAGCCCTGCCCCTTCCACTGAAGCCCTGCCCCTTCCACTGAAGC